CTAATTAATACAGTATTCTTTTATTTCACCTTTATCTCTCCCTCTTGTTTAATTTGCTCCTCATTTGATCTGTCCTCAATCTCTCCTGTTTCCACAAGGCATAGCAAACAGTGATAATCTTTTTAACTGAAAAGGATGGCTGTGGTTTAACTTCGAACACTAGACGGCTTCATATGGCCACTTGGGACACAGAGAATGGACACAGGTGTGACTGAGACATTAATCCTACAGCTCTCCTGGGGTCTGCAGCACCTCGTGAGCCAAGAGCAGCCTCATCCATTTACTACAGTATGGCCTTTTCTATGTCTGCCTTGATTTCAAAAGGGTTAGGAAACACTATTCTAGAGCATACACTGCAAAGCAATAGCACTGGTAAATTTCTCATACACAAAATAGTTTAGGAAAAGGGGAGTTAGTAGAGAAAAATTCAATCTAGTCCTTAAAAAATATCAATAATTTTTTCCCTTTATTAATTTTTAGAGGGAGAGAGAGATAGAAACACCGATGAGAAAGAACATCAATTGGCCACCTCCTGCAAACCTCCCACTGGGGATCAGGCCCACAACCTGGGCATGTGCCCTGACTGGGAATCGAACTGGTGACCTCTTGGTATGTGGGTCAATGCTCAACCAGTGAGCCACACTGGCTGGGCTCAATAATTTTTCAATATAGCAGCTAAAACAGACTAGATTTTTGTTACTAAAATCTTCCCTTGAGGTTGGAGATATGGTTTATTTTAAAGAAAGCAGAAAACTTTTTATATATGACCAGCTAAATGCTAATTTTGTATTCCCCATATTTTCATAACCAACAGTTATATGAATGATCCTCTTCATAAAAATTAGTTTCCAATAAAATGTCATTTGAGTTCAAATGTGTAACTGATATACTAAACTAGCATTTAAAATTATCTAGTTATTACTAAGTGGGCAATGGCATTTTAATAACTAAACTATACATTTGTTCCTGAATGAGTATAAGCATGAGGTGACTCTACTGTAGGCAAGAAACTGTAATTCCTTTAAAAACCAAATAGGTTTCATATTCACTTTAAAATATGATCTTTGCAATAAATCCCGGTACACTGCTTAAAAGGAACCAGGTTACACCTAATTAAGTAGAGGGGAAAGTAGGAATAAAACACTAAACATTGTTCCTGAAATTCCTCAAAACATCGCTCTAGCGGTCCTAGAGGTGCTTCAAACTTCAATGTGTATAAAAAGCACATGGGGGTCCTGTTCAAATGCAGATTCTGATCCAGTAGGACTGAGATGGAGCCTGAGATTTCACATGAGCTTCAAAGTGATGCTTATGCTGCTGGTCCGTAGACCACACAATGCATACTTGGGACCTTACACCTTTGCTCCTATGACACTGATTAAGACAATAGACAAAAATTTAAACTGGCAATAATTTCCACTTCATAATTTTAATGGTTTCATGAAATTAATCTGGGGGAGAGATGGTTATTAAAATACTGATGTTTGGCGAAAATGCAGATAACTTCTTAAAAGTGGGGGCCAAAGAGCAGTTGTAATTAATAACAAGAGCAAACACCTATAGAGCACTTACTACGTGCCAGTGAATTATCTTAAGTACACTGTCCGGCCGGTGTGGCTCAGTGGTTGAGCACTGACCCTGCACCAAGAGGTTGCTGGTTCAATTGCTGGTCAGGACACACGCCAAGGTTGTGGGCCCGATCCCCAGTGGGGGGCCTGCAGGAGGCAGCGAATCAATGTTCTCTCTCATCGATATTTCTCTCTCCCTTCCTCGCTTTCTAAAATCAATAAAGGGAAAAAAAAATTTTAATTATCTGAAGTACACAGATTAACTGATTTGATTCTCATAACACTGTGAGGCAGGAACCATTGCTAGTCCTGTTAAACAGAAGGAAAACCTGAGTCACAAAGACATTACTTACATTGCACACAGCTAATAAATGGCAGAACCAGGATTTGAACACAGGCAGCCCAGTTTCAGATTCTACACTTTTAATCACTATACTAGCAATATGTTTCCCAAGAACACACAGCAGCAGAATTAAAATGGCAAGTCATAATGGCTCAGTCTTGGAGAAAACAATGTAAGTGTTAAAGCAGAGGAGCAACAAGGTGACAGACCACAGATGCTTGGTGAATACCATGACTTAACAACATTTAGTTTTTGCTATATTAGAAACTGTTCTGGACTTCAGAATAGCAAAATATTTGAGAGAAAAAATTTTTCCTAAAAAAATTGTTTTAATGGGACACCACTTTAGTGGCCAGACACCTCGTTTCAATTCATGAAATAAGCAGTTTGAGACCAGGATCACAAGGGCAACTAGTGAAGAATTTTGACATCCAGGACTTATGGCAGTGGCAGACACAGCTGAAATGGCAGGTCAAGAAAACTGCTTTAGCCCTGGCCAGTTTGGCTCGGCGGCTGAGCATCGGCCTGCGGGCCAGAAAGTCCCGGGTTCGGTTCCTGCTAGGGGCTCGTACCACAAAGAAAGAAAGAAAATTGCTTTAGCGAAAATATTTTGGACTGAAGAGATGAGTAACTAAAAGTAGAAACTGGTCAAGGACAAAGCCTAACATGACCAGGAATCTGATACTGTCAAGTAGAGGAAAAGAAGTGGCAAAAATAAGCTATTTGCAAACAAAGAAATAGAGGAATGAAACAAACATTAAAGTCTGAATTATTTTTAAGAGTGTAAGAACTGATCATTAGAAGAGATTTTCCAAGCAATGGTAAACTGTCCAGATAGTACAGCTGCAAAGATAGTGGACTAAACAGATAGATATGGTCAAACAAAAATATCATTTCAATGAGCCCAAATATGGATATGGCTGAGCAAGCACAAAAGAAGTCTCAGGAAACACATTACAAAGGCCTATAGAATATGCAGAAAGAGAAGGTTAACCCTCAAGCATCATCCAATTCAATCACCTGACAAACATTTCTAGGGATACAGGGGTGACCATGCCAAGTCAAAGCCCTGCCCTCATAGAAACTGTATTCTAATGGGGAAAACTAACAGATTTGGAAGAGAATATTGAATACTGAAGTCCTAGAATGAAGACCTTTGCTATATTGGGATATATAAATCTATTTATGGGAAATAAGTTCTAAACACTGTAAATTCAAACTCTCCCAATATATTTTAAGAGGAAAGATACTAATATATGTACATTTAAACTTCTTAAATATAGAGGTTTCAAAAAGTAAGACAACATATAAATGTCCCATTTTTATTTCTTAAAACGTGATAAATTGTGGCAAACATATTCAGAAGATCCAAGTTCCACCCCTATCCAATCAATCTACAACACCCACACTACAGAAAGCTGATTTAAACCTACCATTTCTTTCAAGTGTTTAACAAGCAATTCATTCTCTCTATACAAAATGAGAAACAATAGGAAAGTACACGTTCCAACAAGAACTACCCTTACAATGCATTACACAATTGGATGTCATTTGCTTTACAATGCTAAGATTTTTCTGTGCTATTGCACCCTATAGTCCATGAAGGATGTGGCCAACATTCTGTGGAACAAATACTGTGATCCAAAAGTCTGAAAATGTTACTCAAGTGTTTTTAAATATTCAAAACTCTTTTTTCATATCAAATCAAAAAGTGTCTAGCAAGCAAAGAGTAGGGGTAAAATGAACTGATTCTCTTTTCCCTTGTCACAAAAACCACACGTGAGTCAACTCAGGTATGCATGCTGCATCAGTGTCATATGGGACGTTAAACAGTCTAGTAAAGTCCTTCTGGACCAGAGATGCTCCTACAAAAAACATCCACTTCATTCAAGTACTAAGGGATATTTAAAGGTATTGCCTAGAAGGTGGCTCTAGAAGGTGTTGTCTCACGCTTTATTCCCTGGCACAAACTAATCTTGAGATTTAAACCTTCCTGGCTTTTAGGTGCATTTGAGACGACCGAGATTTGAAAAGCTCTCTGTATTCGATGCATTGGCAAGCAGGCCGTAGATCCAAGTAAGGCTGCAAAATGCTGTCTTAATGGGGAGAGTCCCTGACTTGCAGGAGTTAAAACCCTCACCCCTTATACTGCGATGACGTAATCTTCCACACTGCATTTTTCTTGGACTTAAAGGGGAGGAAAAAACAAACGAACAAAGAAAATTTCCCCCTAATAAGAGGAATTACGAAGGCGGCAGAACGGCAGTTTCGAGAGGCGGTTAGGTAACTCCCAGAAAGGGAAGCTTCAGCTGACCAGGCAGGGAGGCAGAGTTGGAGAAGCAATCGGAAAGGGTGTTAGGAACTCAACCCAGGGCAGGAGTAGAGAGACTGCAGGAGCGGCGACCAGACCCACCCCGCCGGGACCGAGCGTCGGGAGGCGAGGCTGCGGCGAGAAGGCGTCGCAGGCCGAGCCCGAGCCGCCACTTCCCCGCCGCGCTAGCAATTCCGCTCCCCTCCCCCCGCCCGCCGCAAAATGTCCGCGGCAGCGCCGGGCGAAGCAGGAAGTCGAAGCCCGGGCGCCGGGAGCCGAGTGAGCCCGGGCGCACGAACACAGACACTCCAGCTCAGCCCGGGCGCCTGCGAGCGGCTCCGAGGCCCAGACCCACGGCGCCCCGGCCCGCCGCCCGCCTCGGGGCCGGCGGGGCCGGCCGGGGGGAGGGGAGGCCGGGCGGCTGGGATGGGTGTGACTCCTTCCTTCCGCCGCTGCCCGGTGACAGCCCGGCCCCGCCCGCGCCCTCAGGCCGGCACCCCGCGCTCCGGCCGCACTCCCCTCGGCCGGACGGGCGCCCCCCGCCTTCCCCGCCGGGACCCCCTCCCCTCCGTTCGCCGACAGAACCCAGACCCGCGCTCGCCCGCACAGCGCCGCGCGAGCCGGGCACCCCCACCCCACCCCGCGACCCGCGCTCCCAGACTTCCCGGGAACCCAGAGGCGGGGTGTCCCCGCGGACGAGGAGAGGCCCGGGGCGGCGCAGTGGGGACGGAACGGTTGGGAAGCCGCTCCCGCGGGGAGCCTCAGGCCCCGCACTCACCTCAGCTTCTCCGCCGGGGCGTTGGCAGCACTGCGCGGGGTCTCCTCGGCTGCCGGACAGGGGCACGCGCCTGACGTCAGCACGCAGGCGACGCACGGTTGGGCACCCGCGGAAGTGGGAGGGACCGGGAGGCGAACTGAGGCCGAGCCACGGCCTGAATTCATCCCCCGCCCTCCCGCCGGCCGCCTATCGTGCACGCGCCTTCCTCGCTTGAGGCTGAGCTCCTCACGTCTTTCTGAGATAATTGCACTTATAATAATACTGTAAACGGTCGTTTGCAAAACGCTTCCACTAACATTTCTTTTGATCCTTGCAGTCTTGTGAAGTACAGTATTATCATCCCGTTTGCAGAGAAGAGGGAGACTACTCAAAGAGGGAGGGGAGTGACTTGCCGGAGACCACGCTGCAGGTGGATGACACTGTATTGTGTGGGTCTGCCGAGGCGTGAGCTGAACCGCCCTTCTCATCTCTGCCCACACCGCAGTCTCGCTCGCTCCAGCCACAGCGTCTTCGCGTGGTTGAGACTTCCTCCTCACTGCCAGGCCTTGCACTCACTGTCTCCCCCGCCTGCTCCTCTTCACCAGCCCTTTGCTTGGCTCTCAGCCCTCCCTGATCATCCTATCCTCAATGCACCTGTTTATCATCTGGCTTTCCTGCTAGTGGAGGGACCAGGAACCTTCTCTGTCGTTTTCTCAGACGGTTCCCAGTATTGGAGGAAAACAGCTTACCTTAATAATAGTTCGATTGTTGATGACTACCACGGCCATTTGGCCAGCTGTTTCAATACATTTGATTTAATAGTCACACCTTCTTTTGGACTTTTTTAATTCCACAAGAAGAGTGGTTACTATAGGCATGGTGCTAACAACTTTGCATGTAATGGTAGCTAATTTAATACTCAACAACCTTTTTTTTTTTTAATCCTTTTTTTTAAATTCTCACCTGAGGACACTTCTCCACTTTTGTTCAGATAGAGTGGGAGGGAGGGAGAGAGAGAGAGAAACATAGTTGTGAAAGAGACACATTGACTGGTTGCCTCCCCTAGTACTGGACCAGGGCCCAACCGCAACCAAGGCAACTGAGGTACCTGCCATTGACCAGAATTGAACCGGAGACTCATTGGTCCATGGGCCTACACTCTAACCGCTGAGCCAAACCGGCCAGGGCACTCAACAACCATTTTATAAGTTAATAACTAGTATCCCCACTTATTGATACATGAACTGAGGCTCATAAGTGTCAAGAGACTTGCCCAAGGTCGCCAAGGCAGGCAGTGGCTGAGCTGGGACTTAAACCCTCGCAGAGTCTGGCTCTAGTTGACCACTACACTGCCCTATTGCAAAATCAATAGATAAGCTTCAGCTGTGGTCCTGCCTCTAATAATACCAACTCTTAATATTTTGGTGTATAAACTACATTGTGAACATCTTTTTGTGTCAAAAAAAGCATTACTTGTACAGGCAGTCTAATGCATGAGCATTATAATATGTACCTAATCTTCTGTTGGAATCTACGTTGTTTGGGGCTATTATAGACTTTTTACTACTGTAAAAATGCATAAGCTTTGTTTCTTAAACTTGAGGGAAAACTGGTTGTTGTTTCTCCCCCTGCAAGGCCAGTTAGCAGTGACCTTTCCTTCATCTCTTCTCGCAACCCCATGAATGTCCCCAGACAATGTCTGCCCTTTCCATCAGCAGCAAGATCTTGATGGGGTGTCACCCAACTGCCTGGCTTTTCCTGCCTCTATTCTGAGGACAAGGACTCTCTTAGCACTTTGTCTATTATGTTGTCAGGTTTTTGTCAGAAGGTTCCTCCCCCAACTTTCCAAAGCCCCAAAAGGCAGTAGCGTTACTGCTTGACCCTAGTCTACCCCTTCCCTTGCTGCTGGCCCGTCCAGACACAAGCCTCCCACTGCCCAAATGGCTACAGCTGCCTCATATTAAGAGGAAGGGTAACCTGTGGGTCTCCCATTCCACTTCTCCTGTGGTTACAAGCCCAGTGTCCATTCCTCCTTCTTCTGGTAGCACTTCCATTTCTCTAGGAGCCACCCCTCGGTCCATTCTCACTTCAAGTAGTTCTAGAGATGACTACCCACAGTTGCAGGGATAGACTGGTGACCCAGGGTTGGCCAATCAGAGCATTTAGAGAGCACTCTTGCTGCTGCATTTCAGTAATGGGTATATGACCAAATGAGAGTCTATCCTAGAACTTGGGTCAGAACTGTCCAGTTGAATGAATCTTTCCACTGAGGACAACATGTAACCAAGCCACTGCTGGCAGTCATCTTCCACTGCAAGGAGAGAGTGCCTGAGGATGAGACCAAGGCACAGGGGAAAACCGAGCTGAGATGGAGATAGTGACACCAAGTCCCAGTGTCATTGTTTGAGTGACCTTGGATTCTGTCTTGGTCAACTTTCAGTCACATTAACTGATAAATTTCCTGTACTGTCTGATCCAGGTTGAGTAGATTTCTGTCACAACTGCAAGACTCTTGATGAATCATTCTGCCAACCCTTGCCCCCATGTCTGCCCATGTGGTACTTGCCAAACCCTCTATGTAGATGATTCCCTAATCTCTACCTCTTCCAGCACTTATTCCTACCCCATCTCCAAATTTCAGCTACCCAGAAGTCCTATAAGCACCACTGAAATCATCCTCCAGTTCCCACCTGTTCCAGGTTCTGTGCTGCCTACATCTGTTTTGGGTCCCTTCCTGCACCCTTGTATATCCAGGGGTTCCCAACATTTCCTGCAACATTGATTCTGTACCCACAAAGTTAATACCCAATTTCTAGAGGTTTCCTTTAAGAATCTCTGTTTTAATTCATTTTATACAACACAACCTTCATCTTCCCAGATATCACCTCTTATTAAGTCACTTCCAGCCTCAGGAACCCCTAGTGTTTTCTTTTTTGTCTTCCAAATAAAATTCTAAGTCCTTCATCAGGCATTCTGTGTCCTCTATGATCTGGCACCAGCTTGCCTTTCCAAAGTTATTTACTTTTCCCTTCTGTATTAGTCAGGATTCTCCCGAGGAACAGACCAATAGGAAAGATCTGTATCTACATCTACCTTTCCTTCTATCTGTATCTCCTATTTTACATATATTAAGGAACTGACTTACACAACTACAGAGGATGATAAGTCCCAAGATCTACAGGGTGACTTGGCAAGTCAGACACCCAGGAAAGCAAATGGGGTAGTTCCAGTCCAAGTCCTAGGGCCTGAGAATCAGAAGAGCCGTTGTTTCAGTTGTAGTCCAAAAGCCAACAGGCTCAAGACCCAAGAAAAACCATTGTTTCAGTCTGAGTCCAAAACCAGAAATAATTTTCCCTAACTCGAGGATTGGTCAGCCTTTTGTTCTATTCAGGCCTTCAACTGATTGGATGAGTCCCATCACAATAGGGAGAGCAGTCTGCAGTACTCAGTCAACCAATCCAGATGTTAATCTCATCCCTAAACGCCCTCACAGACACACCCAGAATAATGTTTGACCAAATGTCTGGGCACCTCATGGCCCAGTCAAGTTGACATAAGATTAAACACACCTTACGCTGACAACTTCCTTTTGTGCATGCAAGTACCATAATTTCTTACCTCTACACCCAGCTCATGCTGTTCGCTTTGCTTAGAACACACTTCCTGCTCATCCATCCTACCTGTCAAGTCCCACCATGAACTCTACCTTTTGCCAACAATGACCTGTGTCCTTTCCCACCTCAGCACCTCTGAATCTTCAGAGGTTCCTTTCTCTGTCTGACAAACTCCTATTCCTCTCTCCTTCAAATACTATCCTAGACTTCAGCTCTGAAGCCCTCCCTGACAACCCCAGGACACAATTATTCCTATTACACTTTGTATTTCGAGCATACCATATTAGAATCATTTATATTTGTGCTAATGCAACCATTAGCCTATGAGCAGACAGGGATCTTATTTGTTTTTGTATCCTTTGACCTAATTTCCTGGCACACTGCCAGCCCTCAAAAATGTCTGATAAATAATGCATGAATGAACTTGATGCCACCTCTTCCACAAAGCCTGCTCTTCTTCCTGCTGCCAAAAGTGATCTCTGCCTCTTCAAAACAGCCACAGCACTTATCTGGGGCCTTCAGGCCCACGCCCTGTTCTGTCATGTATCTCCATGCTGTCTCTGCCCAACTGCCAGCTCCCAGAGGCAGGAGCAGTTTGGAATGCATCTCTGTGCCCCTCACTGTACTCTTCAGGTGCCTTAAACATAGTGAGCATTTGAACATGGGCAGGATGAGAGAAGCCTCAAAGTTGCATTCTCTGCCACATCTTGAAGACAGCAAATCCCACCTTCTCACCTGGCCAAACAAGATTTATAAAAGAGGAGGAGGATCCACATTATACAGGCTCACCTTCCCGGTCTTCAGTTTTAGGATTTACATGAGAAAATCCCAATTTAAGACTTTCTGTGTGATTCACAGGTGATAAAACTATAAGCAAAAGCCAGGAAGTGATTATTATTTAAAAAAAAAATCTAGTTGCTGGCTGCCCCTAAATGTGGTGGTAATCTGGGAGGGATGGGGGCCTGCTGGAGGGACGATGTTGGCAATATTCTGTTTCATGACCTGGGTGATGAGTACATGGATGTTTGCTTTGTAATTATTCACTATACTGTACATTTGTGTTATGTGCTTTTTCTCATGGGTAATAAAGGTTAAAAATAATTCAATAAAACAAAAATCAAGTCTCAACTGTTGTTACTAAAGAGTTGATGTTGTTGTGCAAATTCCTAACACTTAAGAATCAAGGCCATCTCCCTCTCTAAAATCAATAAAGAAAAACAAAATTTAAAAAACACATTCTGATTTACTGGCTGGTCTTTCCCTCTGCTGAATGATAATGGCCCAGACCTTATCATCAACCCCACTCTGCTGCTAGGACTCCAGATGTGCTCCTGGTTTGGCCTGACACAACATGAGGCTAGAGCTGCTGCAGCTGCGGTCTGCCTACTCCTTGGCTCTGACCTCACCCCCACCCCTTCTGCAGCCCCTCCTGCTGCTGAGCCTCTCTCCTCCTCTTTAAGCCACATCAGTCCACTTGTCCAG